GAAGCAATCAAGAAAACAATCAACAAAATTTACTGAACTCATCCTACCTGTGTCCTAATATTCTCGCTTCTCTCCTACTTTGAGCAAAGGAGCCACCTTTGCATGTAAGCTGGAGGGGCAACCCAACACTTATGGACCAGAGGGACCCTCTAACCCTCCAACAACTTCACCCCGGAATTCTTCCCTCTCTCTCCCACACCATCAAATTTTCTCTCCCCATTAGATTGTCCTCATTACCTTACAAACAATAATTCTTTCCATCTGAAAACAAAATAAATCAAAAACTCCTTTCCCTCTACTCAATCATCTTCCAGGGTCTTTATTCTACCTCACACATTACCTTATGGTTCTCAGCCACACAGCCTTGAGCATCTTTGTGTACTGACAACTCCCATATTTCTAACTGAACCCCCTGTCTAGTTCTTTAAACCTAAACTCACATATTTAGGCACAACAACAATTCCACTGGGTTGTCTCACACTCTACATGCCCAAGCCAGAATTTTTATTTATTTTCTTCTATGAACTCGTCCATCTAGCAGCTGCTACTGCAGTTACCTTCAGCTGCTCTTCCTTGTACCTCAACTCTGATCCATCTACCGGTACCACTGGTTCTACTTAGAAACATTAATGCTTGGGACCAAGTTACCACTATTTCTCACTTGGATTCCTGAAAAGAAAAAAAAAAAATCTCCCTGCTTCTGTTCTTGTTCCTCCAATCTATTCCCAATGTAGCCAAAGGGAGCCTGTTAAAACATCACCAGGGGAGGGCAAGTCAATCCTCCGCCAGGAACCACCCCACCCCCATTTTTTTCTCCTCAGATGCACCGATGGCTCCCCGGCCCATTCAGAGTAAAACCCCACTTGCTGCCAATGGACTTGAAGTCCCCACCACCTACTGTTCTCACTGCCCTTCACTCTGTTCTAATCCTGTTGGCCTCCGTCCATTTCTTCAAACATAACATAAACTCTCCCACCGCAGGTCTTTGTTTCTCCCACCGCAGATCTTTGTTTAAACTCTTCCTTCTGCCTGGAATGCTGCTCATCTAGATCTCCTTCTAGCATCTCATGTGTCATCTTGGCAGAGAGTTGGCATGAACATTCTAATGGAAGCTGGACCCCTCCCCCCACACAGTACTCTCTTGCTTGCAAGGACTTACAATCATGTGACATTTTATGTATTTTGTGTTTTGTATACATCTCCCCCCACAAAATGTGAGTCCCACAAATGCAGGCTTTTTTTTGTGTCTAAAACAGTAGATACCAAGTAAATATTTACTAAGTGGATTCACAGTTAACTCTTGGGATCACACATATTTTTACTGAGTTAAGAGAAAACATTTTGAATTTCAGGGAAACAATAACATTGTTGATAAAAAGGGAGCCAGTCACACAAAATTCCAAATGGGATAATTATTCTTCAGACTTCCTTCTCTCAGCATAAGCAGGAATGCTTAACAAAGGTGAGATATATTTGCTACAGTTTAATTCTCCTCCTCCTGGGTCTATTTTTCCGGTTTATTCTTTCTAAATGATGTTACTTCTCATTGTCTTCTCTGGTTTATCCTACTGTAATACTGAGATGCTTTTACTAGCCCAAATGCTTTGTTATGTTTACTCCAAATAAGGCAGAAGTCAAATAAAGAAAGACTCTGATGTGGACCTCCCTGGTTAAGTCTCTGTGGGTTAAGACTTTCACCTCTGCCTCATAAGTTGATCCTGGCCAGGGAGCTGACCCACATAGGGTGCAGCAAATCTGTCTCACCTGCCGCTCCCCTCAGCAGTGGATTTCAGTAGATTTGCCTATTCTGCTCTCCACTGTCTCTGGTGAGCCCTCTCATCCTCAGCATCTCTGACCTCTACCCCAGTTCTTCTATGCAGAAAATAAGTAAAATTAAAAAAAAAATACAGAAGCAGGAATGGGATGGCTTCACACATATGACATTATCAACTTACTCTCTATAAAGTCAGCATATGGCCTCTCCCTGAACCCCACCTACCCGTCCCTCCCCTCAGGGTGCATTTATATCAGGTTCAGCATGTTCCCTGCTCCTCACAAGGTCTGTGCTAATAAAATACATGTGCCACTTGTGATCAAACCTCTGTTCACCCTCCAATATTTCTGCTTTTGCTACCTTCCCCCAGGGGTGGGTGGTGAAAAGCAAAGTCGTGCACCACATAAGTGACAGGTCAATGGGCAGATGGGGATGAGCTCAAAGGACAGGTGCAGCATGGGCCCTGCTCAGCCAAGGTGAGCCTTGCCCTGCAGGCCACACAGTGGGATTGGGTGTGGGGAGGGTGCCATGAGGGGGACCCCACAAGCACTGGCTCACCCCCAGTTTAGGTGGCACAGCAGGGCACCCTTCACCCTCCTGCTGGCATCTTGGACACCAGAGCTGGAGCACTCATATGCTCACTGAGTGGCTGGTAACTAAAGTCACTCAATTAGCACTGCTCCGAGAGCTCCTTCAAACAAAAGAAAAACAGAAATTCTGAAGGAAGCAAGCTAGTAACGAGAAGCATTTTCTTCTCCCTGTTGACCAAGCTACTTAAATACACTCCGTTGTATAAAAACACTAGGCTCTTGATGCTCCTACAATCTGAACTATTTGAGGATAAGGCCTGAGTAAACACAGCCTGGACCTCACTTTCTTCTAGTTCCACTCAGCTAATTGCTGGCCAACCTTCCAAAATGCCATCTGGACAAAACAGAATACTCAAGTTTCGATTCTTTTTACTCTTCCCCATCTTCTTTATGTTTTCAACTTGCTTTGCTTTTTGATTCTTTCACTCCCAGATTTATACTGTCACCCGGCCTCTGCTTTAAAAATTTGGTTTGGATTAACTTACTTGAATCTGTCCTGGCATCAGCCCAATCCCCCTGCAAACACAGCTGCAGCCACCACTTGTCATCATCGATGCTGTGACTTTCCGCCTGCAGAAAAGGCTGCCCCAAAGGGCAGTGTCTGGTTCCCTGGGGTCCCTGAGATGCAAGGCACCTTCTACGCCTCCTGCTTGTTTACCATGGAGACAGCAGTTTGGGAAACACTTAATTGTTTACTCTGACCTGGCAGGCTAAGGGCTACCAGAGAAAATAGGAGCTATTTATACACTGAAGGAAGATGTGGCCTCCAATGGGCATCAGATGTGTGAACAACTGTGACACACCAGAGGAATACAGACTCCTTGCTGGCATGGCACGGGCACACCAATTAGAAGTCAATGTCCAAGATGCAGAAATTTGACATCAAACCCCCACACTCAGAAATTGTCATTCACAGCTTTCAGTTCCCAGGCGTGGTCTAAGGGATGTATCGCAATTCTGGAGGCAAGACAGTGAAAGACAGAGCATTGGTTCATCTAAAACTCCCCTTCCTGCTTGGGTGTTTCCAGATTCATGTTTGAAACAAGTCTCTTGGTACAGTGTATGCATCCTGGGAGTCCTGCCTCTGACCATTACAGGCAGGGCTCAGTCTTCCCAAGCTGAAATGGGTGTATTAGTGGAAAGCTAACACTGAAGGCAGAGAAGGCAAGAAGAATAGGTCTGCATAGGCCTGCTGGCCTCAAACAGCTAGGACAGATAGACTGAAACTTACTCCTGAGAAGGATACTTTTATTTCCAAACCCGGAATCGGTGTGAACGATAGATGTGTATACCAACATCTGAAAGCACACAGACTAGACATGTTGCTTAAAGAGTATCAGTAAGTTGTAATTAGAAAATTACAAAACACAAAAAAGGGATTTCTATTCCAGCATGAAATATCTGTTGTCCATGCTGCTTTGGAGTTCTAACCATGGAGTTAGAAAAATCACAAAACTACAATGTTGCTTTAAGATGCAGGAATATTGGTGAGTATTCACAATTTCCTTCACTGAAAGTCTCATTGAATATAAGAGGGAAGTCACTGAATACTATGTGTTTCTATTACATCCAAGTGATTTTCACAGTAGGCAATCTGCTGGGACACCACAGGAGTCCCACACTTTGAAATAAAATGGCATGGTGGATACAATTTTATGTGCAATCCCTTTTCAGTTCAAAGCATCGCCTAGTTTCCTTACTCTTGGCTGAATTGGGTAGCAATCCATAAAGAGTGAGTGAGAGGAAGAAAAGCACATGAGTTCTTTTTTGTCTTCATCAATAATATAATACAATTGCACTCTGCTGATCATGGCAATGATAAGTGCATCCCACTTTGAAAATAAACTAAGAAAGGGATTTTTGCATTGCTACCGTGACAGAGTGGAAGACAAACCCTTTGCAGCAGGGGGCAAAAATCAGTCAATCGAGGTAGTGCTAGCATGCTTTTCCTGCACATCTGGTTCCATAAAATGGAGCATGAGTCAGAGAAACACTCCTTCCCACCCCCCTCCTCAAATAAACTAACAAAATCTGCTCAGAAAGGACATTCTGCACAAGGCATCCTATGTGCTTAATTTTCTCTAAACAAGGCATTAACCAAATCACAGTAGCATCTAATAAGATTTTTAATTCCTTGAGGGTAGGAGCCATGGCTAATCTTTAATGACTCTAATTTACTGAGAGCATTTAGTTCCACTCTTGGTAGGAACAACCAACAGAATGTTCCTAGCCTTCCATGAGATGTCTAATAGGTTGTATTACGGAAGTTTCCAGAATGCAGACTGGGCAATGTGCCCACATAAGTTCAGTAAAGACTGGTTTTCAGAGTGATACACAGTAGGAACTGATAGCAAGATTATCAGTGGGTGGAGCAGAAGCTTCAGAAGGGTGATGCTCTTTTACTACAGGACGAGTCTCCACTCACAGTCACAGGGAAGAATTTCAGAGCAGACACTGCTCAGTTTCCATGCCCCAGAGAACCAGAGCTCTGAACATGAGTCTGCTGGCAGGACCTGTGCAAGATCTACAGCCACTGATGCTAGAATTTGTTAAAAAACAAAACAAAACTGAAGAAACTTCTCTCCATTCTGTGAAAACTTGATGATACAAACTTAAGAAAGAGTAGTAGCACTTACAAACTCTGGGGTCTGGAAATCAGGTTGATTTTCCAGGGCTCCAAAAGTTGTTGCCCCTTCAATGTTTTCCATCCCTAAAAACAGAGGAATAAAGAAACATGAAACAAAACTGTTTATACTGGTTCTGTTTTTAAATCAGCAGCATTGTCTTAACTATATTTAGCACTCATGACACTCTGAGAGTGAGACTGTTTAACACTTTCAGTTCTGGGAGACACTCAAAATCCTCAGCCATGTGATTGGTCACTGCTATGCTGGGCAGCACGTGTAGGAGGGCAAGGAGCTGTTCCAGAAAGATGGAGCTTTGTGCAAGGTGAGATGTGTGGCTCTAGATTGGATCCTGGTTTAAACAAGCCAGATTAAAAGGCTTAAAAAAATGAAACCATCTAGTATTTTTCTTTTTCTTTCTGGCTTATATCACTAAGTATGATCTTTTCCAGTTCCATCCACGTTGCCGCATGAGCTTATCTTTTTTGATTGCTGAGTAATAATCCATTGTGTATATATACCACATCTTCTTGATCCATTGTGTATATATACCACATCTTCTTGATGCAAGGTGAGATGTGTGGCTCTAGGTTGCATCCTGGTTTAAACAAGCCAGGTCAAAGACTTAAATAGGAAAATTTGAATATTAGTTGTGGAATTCTACTAGAGTCTATTAACATTGAAGAGTCTAAGAATGTAATTTTGGACACATAGAATGTGATAATATTCTTAAGTAAGCATAAATTAAAGAATAAGTGATTTAACAAATTCAAATTTATCAAGCAGTCCTGCCTTTTCAACAAGCCAGTGGCATCAGAAAGGCAGAATATTAAAGATTTAAAGAGCCTAAGAATCAGAACATCTCCGAGCATGTTCTTTCCAACACCAATGGTAATTTACTTAATTCTGACACTGTCTTCCTGAGACAGCATCAGAACCCACAGGTTAAGGGCTTAGCTCCACCAGACTGTCCCCATGTCAGAGGCCAACAACAAGTTCATAGTGTCACTTGTGTTTCGGCATAACTCACTGTGTATCAAATCCTACAACCATCTGCCTGGGTTCAATTAATTTGCTAACGTGTCTCAGAGAAACACTTGCCAGTTTATACCAGGTATTATACAGATGACCAGCCAGATGAAGAAGAGGTACCCAGTGTGAGGTGTGTGGGATGGGCATACAGCCTCATGCCCTCTGCCAGTCTCCCCACATGACCAACACAGATGTGCTCCAAACCACATCCTTTGGGGTTTTTTTTTTTTTTAGAAGACTGTATTACTTGAACACAATTAATTCAATCACTGGCCATGGGCAATTGACTCCACCTCCCAGGAAGTCTGAGGTAAAAGTCCCAACTACCAACACCAGATGGGTCACCATGTCAACTAGCCTCCATAATCACTTTCTAAAAGTGACCTCATTCACACTTCAAAGCCACCTTTATGGCTCTCACTGACTAGGAGATTCCACTGGTTTTAAGAGCTCTCTACCCAGACTGGACGTGATAACATTATGGCTCAAGACAGTAAAAAGACCAATAGCAATAAGTGGACTCAACTGCATCTGAGACCTCTAATAACTTGGATAAAGAGCCGTAAGGGCAAGTTTAATAAACTAGGGAGTGTGACGGTAGAACAGGCATTAAACTTCATTAAGAAATGACTTAAATTTACAAAGTGTGATGTTATCTTTGCTTTACAGAGGCTCTTTTTTAATGTGGAGTGTGTGTGTATATACACACATAATACATATACATATATACAAATATATATACACATGTATACATATTTTTAACACATTAGAAACTTTTGTGAAGAAAAAGAATGAGTACTGACCTATGCAGAAAAATCCCCTCCTATTACCCAAAAGAAATCTGGGCATTTACAGATCTCCAAGTGAGTCCTCAATAAAACCATAAAAAATAAGTCAACAGTTCAGTCAATTTGGCTACAAACACTTAGGTTTGGCATGCCAATGTCTGCATTAGGTTCCAGGTTCATTCAGAAGTTAGGGGAAATTGACACTTATTTGTCTATTAAACCTGTATACTGCTATGAATTGAAAGCAAATGCCAGTCGAAATGACCATGCAAACAAGTGGCTGGAACACTTTCACCAAGCTGAGTCCATCCACGGTGAACCAAAGCAGAAAAAATGACAGATGAGGTGAGCCAGGGCTGGGAGGTACTTGCCTCCGAGAAGTCCAGGAAGCCAACCACAATTACTGAAGCATCTGTTATCCTTCAAGAATTGTAAAGGAATAAGTTGGTTCCACCAACATCAGAACAATTGTCAAGTGTAATTATATTCCTGCAGACCATCTTCAGAACTTGCTGAGATGTGCTTGTGTACTAGGCTATTAGAAAATGTTTTAAATTGGGTTTTGCAGCTTGCTTCACATTAGGAAAAACGGCCCTAACATTTCCATAGCATTAAAACAGATATTGAAATAGTCTTGGTAGCATTTATGATACTCTTTTTCAGCAAAGCTAGCAAGTCGTTGAAATAAAACACGGCAGCTTTTATTTTTTTTAATGAACAATAACAATGTACATCTGATGGAGTCACTTGGTTTTCTTATCCGATTCCTTTATAATTAGATGCCCAATTTATATGTAGCTGGGTCAACAGATGGGACAGAGCTCTACTGTGGGTTGTTGTTGTTTTTTATATGAGAGGCCAGGCTAAAGAAAATAGGCATTTGCCTAAAGACAGAGGAGAAACAAGATATATTACCCAGATGTTCCATCAAATTAAAGGCATATATACAACTTGAAAGAATTTGTGAGAGAACATATAAAAGTACAGTTTTAGTTTATTTTGTTGGTAATGGAAACAAATGGATTTACTGGCTAATGTCAATGGAGGAGAGAAACTATAAATTCAAGTGAATAAAAACAGAAATGACTTTTCTGAAACGTCATCTAGACAGAACAAAGCTGCAGCTGTTGCTCTAAAGACCTAATAGAGTTTGGAGATGTGATGATTTATGATGCTAATATGATAATTATAATTCCACTATGAGGGGCTCCAGATATGCTAGTTAAGTCCCATTTCTGGTAACCTAAGACAGCTGAAAAGTTCATTTCTCAGGAAAAAACAAAATAGTCAAAATCAAGCTGACATTTTGAAAGCTTTTTATTAAAATAGAGACAGAGCTGAGGAAAATATTCAAGGAAGGCAAAAACATTCATTTTATTTTCATTTCTATATATCACTTTTAATAAAGTATCTTGAAATGTATCTCTGTAAGATCGTGGCCTCTCTTTGTGGAAGAGAAAGACGACTTTGACTGGCACCGTAAGTAGTCTGCTCAGCACTTGGATTGTAAAAAAGTGTTCAGAGCCTCTATGTTACCTGTTCATCAAAAAGCTGATTAGGAGCCCTCCCTTGTGGCACAGCTGGTTAAAGCACAGCACTAAGAAGCTAAAGCCACTTCCACATGAGTTCGATCCCCGACCCCGGAGGTGACCCACATGGCGCGCGCGGCAGACCTCTCCTGACCCACCCACTGCTCCTCTCAGCAGTGTGCTTCCTCAATCTGCCTATTCTGCTCCCCACTCTGACTCTGGTGAATCCTCTCACTGCCCTTGCAACTCTGGCCTGTATCCCAGTTCTGTATGCATAAATAAATAAATCTTTTTTTTAAAAAAAAAAAAAAGCTGATTAAAAGGAAAAAAGAGAAATACCAAATGGTCCCACTTATAGGAGGACTACAAGCAAACTGAACAAAGGATCAGGAAAAGGACAAAGCTTGCAGGTTGACCACAGACCTGTGGAGGGGTCCCAACAGGGGAGGGAAGAGCAAAAGGGACTGTGGTGATGGTTCATGGATTCTGTGGTGGTGGGAGAACTATGGCACTACACCTGAAGGGAGAAATCAAACACTGACGAGAAATGAACAATATAAGAAAAGTTTTAAAAAATAAATGAATTAAAAAAAAACACTGACTGAAAACTAGCTATTTTAATATAATGAGAAAAACTTTGGATTTAATATGTCAACACAACACAAAAGCACGCTTGTCAGGTTCCGCAAATATCTATTGCCTAGTTTGTATTTCATACCACCACTGTGTTAACAGGTCCTGGGAATACCAAGAAGGACAAGACAAGATTCCCTCATCCTCAGAAAGGAATCTGAGACACAGTGAATGCCACTTTTAAGTTAATCCGTAAGAGTGGGGCTACAGGCTTACAGATACTATAAGCGTACGGGCGAGAACACAGCACACACACATTACCTGGTTTACTGAATGCAAAAGTAAAATAATTGAGAATCTAGGTCACTAAATATGACTTGTCCTACATTTAATACCCATCGATCACATTCCAGTTAGCCAAAAAATGAAAGAAATGACTCATCTTCAAAACTTTATCAGTGTAATTAGTATAAGATTAAAGCCATAAAGTTTTTGGTTCTTATCTATTTCACAGTACAAAATGAAAGTCCCATTAGAAATAGCCAGAAATCTATCTCACTAATAGCTTAGTAATAGCACAGTAGAAACTTCACCAAAAACTAGCTGCTCTTAGGATTACTGGTCTATTAATGAGAAATGGAGTCATAACATTCATTATGATGATTGTAGAAGAGACAGCAAGACTTAAACGCACCCATGGAAAAGAACCGCTATCTATAATTCTATAATGTAGACAAAGTATTAGCCATGAGAAAGCACAAAATGATCACTCAGGAAATTCAAGGGGGAAAACTAACATGTATGGGTACTGCATCAGCAGTGAGCATGATCAGAACTTGGCGTTCACACTATCACTTAAGCCACAAGCATGGCAGGTGACAGGGTCCAATCAACGTAATTACTACGGTTAAGTGGTTGCCACTATTCTGTGGGGACACAGAGTGAACATCTAAGACTAGTGAACATTCACGGACTAGTGAAAACAGACAAGGAACTGGCACAAATTGTGCTGGGCACGAATGACAGGGATTCTGTGAGCTCAAAAACTGACACTGCATCTTAGATACAGTATCAAAGCATGAACAGAGACACTGATTTATTCTCAGTTGATTTTCCCAAAGCTGGTAATAAATGTACTTCTGCTGTCTATTTCATTGAAGTGTG